AAAAACTACTTCCGATCTAGTTCTCATTGCTTGGGTTTTCGGAAAAAATCATCCTTTAATTTGGGCCTAAATCTCTGCGCTAGGTATCTATTATAAGGTATTCCAACTGTCTAGCTATTTGCCAACACGTCTGTATTTTAAAGTGTCAAGAGTACCTCGTTTTAAATTATCAATAAGACTTAATTTCTGGACCATTTTCTTAAATTTTCCGCAAGGGACTTAATTTTTTAAAGCAAAACAAAAATGTCTTAGGGTAAGTAGCTCCCGGGCAGACAACCCATTTTTTACACTTAACTTCACCGTAACAATAGGGGACAAATAATCCATTTTTTTTGTTAGTTTTATTTATTACCAATCATTTAGTTCATTTGGGATTTGGTTAGTGAAATTTTTAAAAACCACAAACCCAAATTATAAATAAAAAAATATACAGCAAAGAAACCCAATCTTACGTTCAAATTTTCAAAAACAGAGTATGATACAATAATTTCAATTTTTAAAATCTATCTTTTAGAAAGGTCTAGGGTAACGAAATAGTTATCTTTTATAAGTACTTAATTTCCAAAATAATTTCAAAGGGCAAGACTTTGGTAAAAAAGTTTTAGTTTTAAGCAGGGGCTTTTGGGTTGAAGACCCGTACCCATCAGAGCAGGAGCTGATGCCTCACTCAACTCTTATAGTTGACTTCAGCTCTGCCAAAGGGGACGCGTGGGGTCAATCTGAACCACCAATTGGTCATACAGTAGTGGGGTTTCACATTCGTAAAAAACCTAACCCAAAAAAAAAAAAATAATTTATATTATAATAATCATGGGGGGGAAAAATATAATAAATACAATATAATAAAGAGAGAGTACTTTTTGATTCATACTGACCCGATAAAAAATAGTCGAACCTGCTTTTTCAGCTATAAAAAGTGGGTTTGCGATATATTATTACAGAATTATTTTAAACCCCGGCCTTTTATTTTTGTATATAATGGGGTGAAGTAGGGGGGCGCGTAACAGGGGTCATTAAATCGGAGGTTAAAAACCCAGAATATCCGGTTTAAAAACCCCAGTACGGGGGGAAAAATGGGCGTGTTTCCTTAAGACCCCTGCTGTCCATATCCCTAGCTAAGTGGGACCTGGGTGTTAGTTGACGGGTGGGTCGCATCCTGGGGCAAAGACCAATTTGCGGGAAATGTCAGCAAACAAGCGATTTTTATAATAGTATGTCATGATGTCAGCTATGGTCTGTATCCTTCTAATGTAGTAATAAAAAATAAAAATAAAATTATATTATATTATATCGTTATGAAAGTTCCCCTGACGTAACTTTACTGCCCCGTATGGTTTTTAGAGACGGATGGTTCCAGTCTTACTCTCAGAATATTCCCCCTGTTCAAACTGCGCAAAAAAGGGACAATGCGGTTTTCACGGTCATGGGAAATTTTTAACTCCACCATTCACTGATGTTGGTGCACATACATTCTTCTCACCAGCCATGTCACTGTGTTGGGCTACATACACGTCTTCTCCACCAGCCATGTCACTGATTTTTGGTGCTACATACAGAAACCTCTCCCCAGCCTGCACTGATTTTTGGTCCCACTACACTACTCTCTCCCCCAGCCTGTCACTGATGTTGGGCAACATACACTACTCCTCCACCAAACTTGCTAAAAATCCCTTCCCACCCCCAACCACCCTACTCAACTCACCACCACACTACTACCATCCCACCACCCCAGTACACCATCACCACCACCACTTTTCTACCATCACCACCACCACAAGTACACCATAAAACCACCACTACACCTCACCATCACCACAAGTACTCCCATCACCCCACCCCCCCTACTCCATCACCATCACCACCAGTACCTACCACACTCCCACCACCCCACTACTTCAAAACCCATCACCAACTACTATACTACCATCCCCACCACCACCACTACTACCATCCCACCAGTACCCATGACTACCACCACCACCCTATACATAACCACACCACACTACATTTACTACCATCACCCCCCACCACCACTACTACCATCCCCACCAGTAACACCATACTACCACCACCACCACATTTTAAAAACCCCATCACCACTACACATACTATACCTCACCACCACCACCACACTACCATCACCACCACCCCCAGTACACCATCACTACCACCACCCACCACCACACTACAAACCATCACCACACTACTACTACTCCCTCATCACCACCCCCTTTAACAACATAAACCACAAAAACTATCCCGAGTGGTATAGAAAAATTTTGCGTGTTAATATACATATATTTTTGGTGACTCACACAAGCAGTCACTTCCCGTATAGCATCTCATCCAGCTGGAAGCACGGTAAGCAAACCATCTAGTGGTGCTACAACCCTACCTCGTCGAAACTTTTATTTTTACACAGTTTTAAACAAGGTTGGGTTCGGGTTCCAAACTTTATGTTTTTATAATGTTAAAAGATACACAGGAGTAAGAGATCAAGTTGGAAAAATCTGTGGACCAGCGATAATGTTTGGGCAACTGGCTTTATTTTTGTTTATATCATTAGTAAATTTACTTGGGACAGGTAACATACCTTACCTGGAGGGGGTTTTGGGGGGCAAAACCCCCCCGGGCCCGGGCTGAAACCAGGGCCCCTTTGGAGAGGGGCTATCGACCAGGCTGTTACTGCTGGCCGACGTAAACCCCAGCCCGGTGATCAGCACGACTTTTGGTGCCGTCCCCGCGCCTTCTTTGTCTTTGTACACTGTCCCGGGCGCAATTTCGCCTAATTAAGGGGGGATTTTTGAACAGAGTCCCGCCTAGAGAAAACAAGCGATTTGAAGATAATCATCAGGGCTTGGCGTCCCAGTTTTGAAGGTTTTTCATTATCCATACTATCTTTTCCTACAAATGTGGTAGATACATTGTTGTGGTCACTTCCAATCCTTCACATTAGTGAAAATTACCCAGGGTAACCTAGATCAGTCACCCTTGGAATAAATAACGTCCCTTAACTGCGCACACCCCCCCTTGTTACCTGGAACCTTGAAAATGATTTTTTTTTTTTTTTGGT